GATTCACAAAGAATCTGGCGTCTTGGAAGAGGAGTTACTTATCTTTGGGGGAAGAATTATGCTTTTTAGGTTTACTCTTGCTAACTTGCTGGTGTATTTTTTGTTAGTGTTTAGGATTCCTGAAGGGCTTAGTAGAAAAATTGAAAAATTGATGAGAGACTTTCTTTGGTAGCCGGGTGAGGAGAAGAACCATAGAGTAATGTGGGAAGTGGTTAGTAGAAGCAAGAAGTTTAGTGGATTAGGGTTAGGGAACATCCAAGAAAGGAATGCTGCTTTGTTAGGGAAATGACTGTGGAGATTACCTAAGGATAGCGACAAGCTGTGGACTAAAGTTATCATCAATATTCATGGGCTTGCAGCTGATGGTTGGAATTCCCGGATCTTGGCTGGGGCCTCTAGAGCTTCTCCCTCGAAGTCCATCCATGTGATTTTACCATCCTTCTTGCCATTTGTTAGGTATAATCCCTATTCTAGAAATTTTTTCAAATTCTAGGATCATGCATGGTTGGATATTTCTCCTTTGAAGGAGCAATTCCCCTCTCTTTATGCCATTTCCAATCATAAGGATGAGCCTATTTCTTCTTTCATTGTTCCTTCTAGTTTGCATCTGGGTTTGATTGGGACTTGGGATTCAGGAGAGGGCTTCGTGAGTTGGAAATGAGTGCTGTTGTGTCTACTCCAGAGGTTGGTTGGGGTTTTCTTGGATCCCATTAAATGGGATAGTCTAATTTGGACTCTTAGTTCTTCTGGGTCATTCTCTTGTGCCTCTTTCGTTTCAGCCTTAGTTCAGCCAGGAGATAGTTTGGGGACGCCTTTTCCTATTAGGGAGGTTTGGAGCAAGCCTATCCTACCTTGTGTGGGTGCTTTTTGTTGGGAAGCCTATCTGGAGAGAAATAACACTCTCAATTTGCTTTAAACAAAAAGAAAAAATTGGTGCTTATCCCCTAACCTGAGTTCTCTTTGTAATGTGGATGGTGAGTCTTTCTACCACTTATTAACTCTTGCCCTTTTATTTCATCAATATGGGAATGGTTTCTCTCTTTGTTTAGGTGTAGGTGGAACCTCCCGCCAAATGTGTGAAGCTTGTTTGCCTCTACCTTTTTTAGTTAGCCGAAGAAAAGGGGTAGATATTTATGGAGATGTACAAGGGCAGCTGTGTGTTGGACAGCATTGGAAGAAAGGAATTAGAGGATCTTTCTTGATAAGTAGAGAAGTAGGGAATCCCTAATTGAATCATTACAATTAGGGTGATCCATTGGATGAAGTCTCTTGATCTTTTTGAAGGAATCTTGGCAGATGATTTGGTGAGGAATTGGAAAGTTGTTGTTGATTCAGCTCCTAGTAAGGTTATGGTAAGACCAACTTGGTTGCCTCCTCCACGTGGCTTTATTAAGCTGGATTTTAATGGGAGGAGTGATGGAGATCCGGGTCCCTTAGGCATAGGAGGTGTCTTTAGAAATGAGGAAGGAAGAACCATTACTGTCTACTCAGGATCGATTAGTGTTGGAGATTCTTTGAGGGCTGAAATAATGGCTGTGATGGAAGGTCTTCAAAGGGCTAGAAGAACTGAACATTCGGAAGCTAGTAATTGAGGGCAAACTTAGTTATTGAGTGGTTGAAGAAGGAAGAGGAGAATGGATGGTGGTGCTATATTAACGAGAAAAGGAGTACTTGGCTGTCTTGGGGAATGGAAATCAATGTGCAATAGGTGAAAAGAAATGCTAATTCATTCGCTGATACATTAGCAAAGCAGGGGGTGGGAAGGATCATTTATTTTGAGCTGTATTCTAAATTTTCTGTTTGTATTTGGGAGAGTTAAGAGAATTCCTCTCCCCTTATCTCCTTTGTACACTTTCATTATTTATTATAATAAATTAGTTTCTGTTATTCATATAAAAAAGATGTGATGTACAGGGCTGATTTGTATTAGAGGATTGAACAGGTGGCCAATTTGGAGGGTCCTTTAATTGGTTGACAACTGGAACTGGCGACATCATCCCTCCATGTGGCAGAAATGTTCCCTACTTGACCTGATGAGGGAACCTTTTTCATATGTATAATGCTATCAGGAAGCTCAGCTACTTTTTCAGCCTTGCAATAGACAGGGTTAGCGCAGGAAAAGTAATATTTTAGTTGTCTTCACATGGGGCTACTTTGTGTTAGCAGGGTTACAAGGTGGCTGAGTTGCTTACTGGCATTTCATGTCTTTTGTGTGTTTCGTAGGACCCACGAAGTTGTTCAATGAGGGGATTCATAACCAAAGAGGCACTTGTTGTAGTTGCAACCACTACAGCATCTGATGGTGACTCATAGAGAATGACAATGCCTCATCCATGATAGAGAAGAATGATTTGATCTAATCTACTTGTTGCTTCCAGACCAATTGTGTTTCTGCGACAAATTCTAAGGGTTGTATGAACAAGATGATGGTGATCTTATTTTCAACATATTTTGATCAGATTAAGTAGAGAATAACAAGATCTAGAGAGATGAGGTGTTTAAATCCATCGCTGAGTTTAAATCCTTTTTTGCTGCTGAGTTCAAATCTGCCGCTGCAACGAGTTGCAGTGGCGGTGATGAAATAGGGGAAGGGAACGATGGAGAACAAAGGGGAAGGAGAGAGAGAGAGAGAGAGAGAGAGAGAGAGAGAGGGCATAGGTGGAGGGGGTTAACGCATCGCCGCCCATCTCTTTCGAAGAGGAGGGACTACCGGAGATCTAGCACCGCCACCCGTCTCTTTCAGTTTGTCGCTGTGCATCTAGAGGAAGGGGAGAATGAACAGTAGAGACCAAGGGAAAAAAGGATATTTCATCTTTTCTGTTATAATTTAACGACGACGACAATTGTCATAAACAGTAAAGGTGGTTTAAGACAACAGTTAAACAGTAAGGGTACAGTTTGTCAATTAGCTAAGCAGTAAGGGTAGTTTAAGAAATTTGCCCTAAAGAATAATGTAGGAAAAAGATTCATGAATTTTGTAAGTCTTAATAACTACTTTTTACATACTCAGAAAAAAAAATCATGTAGCACTTGTCCCAACACAGAAATGAACTAAATAATGATGGCTACACATTACTGTATAAAGATTTAAAAGTCCTTGTACAGGTTACGTTTTTTTTTTTTTTTTGATAATTGAATTATAATTTCATTAATCAGAGAATATAAGCTATTACAAGCATCCCTTGGAGAGGCGAAAGTTGCAACCTCTCCTAAACATTACAGTGAAAACAGAATAAACCAGAAAAAGTTACAGACTTGCCCAGAATAGATCTTTCCCTAGATACCCCTTGTTTGGCAAGAGAGTCGATGAAAGCATTTGCCGACCAACCCACACATTGGACTCCAATTATCATGTGTCAAGTCAACCATTTAAATTTTTTTCATGAAATTCCTATAGCTCCAAGTAACTGAGTCAGAGTTCTGCAACCAACCCACAATCACCTTAGAGTCCCCTTCAATCATTAACTTCTCTATCCCAAGTTGGTTGGCAAACTGAACTCCTTGTACTGCAGCCAACAATTCAGCCCTTGTAGAATCACCCACTCCCACCAGGCCTGAAAACATAGATAAGATATTACTTTCCTCAGTTCTCAAGACCCCTCCAATTCCTGACAAGCCCGGACTGCCCCAGCTGCTCCCATCAAAATTCAGTTTAATAAAACCTTCCAAAGGAGGTACCCAAACTGCTACAGATTTTTTTTTTCTGAGAAGTCGTGTTAGCTATTACAGCCTAGTTTCTCCAGAAATCATCAAAGGAAAAAGGAGTGAAGGAGTCTAGGGTTCTCAACCAGTGTATAGCTCTAGTTAATATACACTCCTTCACTACCGGAAGGGTTCTCTCCTTGTCGAGAAAGATTCTAGAATTCCTTTCTTCCCAAATAGTCCACAATGTAGCTGCTCTAATGCGTCTCCACATGCATTTCCCTTTTATTGTTGGCCAAACAAAGATAGACGAGCTTAACAACAATTTTACTTCCGATGGCAGAATTCACCTACCACCAAACAAATCAGAAATACAATCCCACAGAACTGTAGCAAAGGGATAGGAAATCAGTAAGTGGTAGCAGTCCTCACTATAGGTTTTGCAAAATGTGCACCAATTTGGGGATAGACACAAGAAAGGCCTTTTCTTTTTCAAGTTTTCCAAAGTAATAATCTTAGCACGGTACACCTCCCAACAAAAGACAGCTATTTTAGGGGAATAGGTTTGGTCCAAACTTCTCGCACAGTGAAAGACCAATTAGAAGAAAAAGGGTCCAAACAAACCTAATCGAGAGAAGAAAGCAACTCAGTGACACAAAGAAGTTCAGCCTCCCGCAAACCTCTGTGTAATCAGAAGTCCCCGGTTCGAAGAAAGAGGGAGGATTGTACAGGTTACGTATAGATGCAGGATATTAGAATGTGAACGGCTGAGTTAGATTTCATTTATTCTTTTGGGTGCCAAAGCTGAACTTAGAACAAGCAGTCTCATGGTTGATGCGGTACAGCAACCTTTTAAGCTATGGGCTACAGCACTCAGAAGCTTATAGTAGCATGATGCTTGGGGGAAAAGGACAACTTGAAGTTAATCCAGGATGCCAAGAATTTACAATTTATTTTCGCGTCGACAAAGATGAAAATGAATTTGACAAGAAAGGATAAATAAAGTAAGAGAGGTTGACAGTCGTTTCTAATGTGCATGACTACAAAGAGAGACTAAACAAAGAGAATGTTTCCAAGAAAAGACATAACAAGAAAATAAGCAAATAGTGGTATGCGGCATTAAGCAGAAACAGAGCGACTGTAATCAATCCAACAATCAATTGATGACAAAAATAGATGATGACGATGGTGATAAGAAGAGGAGGAGGAGGAGGAGGCATATCACAGAACAATAACGACAATAAATAAATAATCAAATCATGCCAATTACCTAATTTCTACAGTTGTTTACAAAATTGAAGATAATTAATATTAAAAGAATGGAAAGAAGTTAGGGAAAAGAAAAGGCGAATTCGGACCTGAAACCATGATGAAGGCTTCGAGGTATTCGCCATCGCGTTCTTTGCCATCATTGTTGGATTTCCCGCCAAAGCTTCGACGAGAAGCCTTACAATAAATGACAAACGATTTGGATCCGTGAGATTTTCTGGTCTGGCATCCTAATTGAAATGAAAGGGGAGACGAAGAGCAACTCAGCGAATTCGAAATAGAACGACCTGCATTTGCTTGATCGATTGAAGAAGCTCCCATACCGAAGAGCGTACGAACGTGGAATTGAATTCCGAGCATTCTCTTCTCTTCTCTTCTCTTCTGATGACAGCGGCAAGACTCCAGGAGACTCACGACAGACGGGCAGAGCTCAAAAAAGCAGTCGTGGAAGATGATCACAAACGAACAGAGAAGGGAGGAAATGGCCAACTGAATCCCGCTTTTTCTTGTATTTTATTTATAGGAGGGGGAGGGGGCCGAAAACTCCTGATTTAATTTTCCATCTTCACAAAATCACCCCTTGTCCCAGTCGCTCTCAGTCACTGCCTCCTGCTAAGGTACACGTGTACGATAAGGACAGGATGAAAGAGGCTACAGCTGCTTGGATTGGAAAGAAAACCCTCGGCCAGTCATGTTCAACAGGCCAAGCAAGCTACTTGAATAGCAGTATAGCACAATAGCAAGCTACTTGGATCGGGTTATATATGATTCCTTACCCGATAAATTCGGGTCAAATCAGATCTGCCCGATCCAGATTTCCTCCTCACATCAATTGCAACTCTCCCCACGAAGGAAAACATTATGGTAGATGTTCCCGAATTCTGCGAAGAAGAAATCTGGATTTGCCATGAACGCCGAGAACAAGCTCAGATCTGCCACCCACAAAGACGTTATATGTACCCATAAAACAACACCATTCATATGGTGGGAATATTTCCACGAATGACAACTGAGATGTTCCGAAGTATAGCTATAGTGTTTTTGAGTATTGTTGTGGATGGCAGATACAGACTCCCAATGACATTCCCACAAACAGCTCGTTTTAGGACCTTGTTGTGATCGTAATTTTTTCCATGGCCGATGGGGACCCAATGCGATTGGGGATGGGATTGTTTTGGCAGGGCAGGGACGGGGACGAGGATTAATAGGAATTCTTGATCGGGTCAGGGTCGGAGATGGGATTGAAGTCCCCGCACCAACCTCAATTATTTCTATTAAATATATATATATATATATATATATATTTAAAATATTATTTATATTTTAAATTTTTTATTTATTTTAAGTAAATTTATTTTTCAAAAAATATTATCTAACAAAATTTTAGGGATTCGGGTCCCCATAGGGAACCCGTCCCCATCAGGGATTGGGGATGGAGGACAACTTTTATCTCCGATAACGGGACGGGGATTAATTTCATAATCAAAGTTGGGGACAAGGAATATGATCCCCACCCCATTGCCATTCTTACAATCATTCATATTTTCTATCATTCTCACTTTTAAGTACCGTTTGTCTTTCAGTATATCATAGGGGTAAGTTGGTCAATTGAGTAATTGATTACAAACCTTGTATTCTTATGCCACCGTACTGAGTTCCATGAAAAGCAAATTTTCCACAGAGTATCAGTTATCTGAGTAATTGATCCTCTCTTAGAGGGTGGGTAAGTTCTTTATCCGCTTGCCAAAAATGCTAATCCCCTCCCACCTCTCTCTTTACTTGGTAAGTGAAAACGCACAACTGCACAAGAATGCTAGTAATGAATTTTCTTGGACAACTTATGCCAAGGAAAACACTTGTCCAAGTAAACTTACATACCCAAATAAGTGAAAATTACTCAGGTGAAAATGAAATGAGCCTTAGTAGGGGTGAGCATTCGGTTTATTAGGTTAAAAACAGAATTTATAAAATATAAAACCAAAACCAAATTTTTCGGATCGGTTTTCGGTTTTCGGTTTTTCAGTTAAAACGAATTTTATTAATATTATACTAATACATAGTATATATTATATATTAATATATTTACATATACTATAATATATGTATATGTTAATGTATTTTATATACTTTAATATTCTATTTAATATATAATACACATATTATAATATTATGTATATAATAAATTTTGATTAAGTTGGTTTTTTCGGTTAACCGAATTTCCAATCCTGAAAACCAAAATTCTTTAAAACCAAATTAACAGAACCAAACAAACCGAAACTGAAAATTTCAGTTCGGTTTTTCAATTTTAACCGAAGAATGTTCACCCCTAGGCCTTAGAGTTAAAACAGAAACTCAAATTAGTTCAATCACGAATTTTCTTAACAAAGTGGTCTCCTTTTCTACTAAGCACTCGTTAGCTAGTCCAAATGAGATGCACTGCATGCTCAATGAATCTGGCCTTCAAAACAAACTAGGATCATCCAAGTATGTTGTGGTTTCTTGGACAAGACCCATTGAAAAGTACCGGCTAAACAATTGCAAAATGCAAGTTCGTGATGTCTACTCAGTATGCACAATCAAACAAATGTTTTATGGCTGATATATTACACACAAGTTTTCGCCCCTTTAGCCTTTTGAACCCATTCATTCGATAGTAGATATCCATCCTGTACGTAAAGTAGAAAAAATAATGAAGGAGCCATCCAAAGCTTTATTGGTTAAAGAACCTTTAATTGTACCACTGCTCTCGGTTATGTATTGTCCGTGTGCATTCACCAAATACGATCACAGCAAAAAACCAACACAAGCACAAATGAGCAGATATGGCCGACTTTCATGTATCAACAGACCAAGGCCATATTGCCTTTGGGCTTCACATACACGTCAAACACAATTGCTATTACCTGAATGATGTATTTTCTGTGAGAATAATAGCATGAATAACGCAAAAAGATACAATATGGATGCTCAATCCTTCAAATTCCCTTAAGTTCATTATAATTCATATAAAATAAATGGCATAAAAAGATCCACCCAGAGAAATCCCCATTTTGCACCCTGATATCCTTTACAGTCAACCTCTTTCCAGTTTTAATGGACGAACAGACTGTCTTCCATCGCACAGACCTGAAGATCCATAATGGTTGATGGCTAATTCACACCTTGACAGTTGAAGCTTGATCAAACTCAGGTTGCGGTGTTCAAAATCATTACTAATTGCCACATTGCCTGCAGGAACAAAGTTTCTCTTCTCCCATCTGGCATGTCTTTCACACCATTAACTTGAGTGATCCAGATTGATGAATTGGCGGACCCATTAAACCAAGGAAAGATGTAATGTACAACCAAAGAACTCTGCAATGTTGGAACAAAGATATACATGTTGAATTTACACATGAAACAGAGTGCCTGAAGCATGGCTAGTTGTCAAAACTGGTCACTGTGACTTGGGTAGCTGCTTCAGTAACTTGATAAGCTCATAAGTCCTCAGGTCTCGACCCAAATAGAAACAGAGATCAAGAGGGGTTAAACCATCCTGAAAAACGAAGTTAATGTCAATTATACAGTATTTTGCAAGAGACTGACTCTATAAATACATTTCAAGACAACTGATCCAGATCAAGGTAGAGGGATCTCCACCCCTATCATGTTTAATTGATGTTAAGGTGCCTACACTAATTATACATGCTGGATCACAGAGCAGCAGTCCAACTTTATAGCATAATAAAAAATGAAGTAATAAATTATAAATATTATATATCCAGACATGAGACATTACAGCACTTGTGAGAACAACCATAATTATATATAATATAAAGATGCACTTAGATGGGTTTTGTATTCTCCAATCAAATGGTCATCAACCAGACACTTTATTTTGGTAAGGCATCAACCAAACACTTAGAGAAGAGTTATTGTGCCACGTACATGGTCTGCAAATAATAAATGCCATAATTGTCCACAATAAATGACACCATATGCTGTTATCATTTGGCATATACATAGAACCAAGAGATGCATATGCTGAGATGGATTAGTGGAAAAACTAAAAAGGATAGGATCAGAAATGAAGTCATTCAAAAGAATGTAGGATTAGCTAAAAAAGGTGATGAATGAGAAAAAGTAGACTAGGATGGTTTAGTGACGTGCATAGAAGACCACCAACAGCACCTGTGAGAAGAAGTGATTTGTTGCAAATTGAAGGGTTAGAAATGATTTTAAGTGTCCATGATTTAACAATGAATATGGCTTTAAACGGAATAGAATGGTGAAACAGGATTCATTTAGCCAACCCCATATAGTTGGGAGAAGGCTTGGATGATAATGATGACGATGATGATGATGATGATATCATGATAGACCAAGAGGGAATAAAAGACTGAATGGACCTAATCACATGATAAAGACACCAGTAAGTCATTACCTGGTTTTTTAAAGTCTTATCAGCTCCTTTAATCAACAAAAGCCTCACCAAATCTGTTCTTTGGGTTTGAACAGCAAGATGCAATGGTGTCCAACCATCCTGCACATAACAGAAACAGGTAATAGGCATATTTTCAGAAGAATTGTTGCAGCTAGAAAAAGTGATTTCAGGGCCAAGAAACAACAGAAGCGTACATCATCTGGAAGGTTTATGTCAACATTATACAGAAGAAGAATTTTAATTGTCTGGATAGATGCAGTTTGGACAGCATAGTGCATCAAAGTGGCACCCTCCTGTTGTAGGCAAAAATTGGAAGTGAAATAAAATTAGTAATCCTGCAAACACATCACCTTGTTCAACTTCGGAGTTCAATACAGGATGACTATTACCCATTACAAAATTCACCAACAGCATTGATATTACCAGGTCTTTTTACATTAGAATGTCAAGGGAAGGGCTTATCATGAGATGGCATGGTCATAGCAGCATTAACACTTAATATTGATGTATCAAACACAAATTAAGACAGTGTGGTAGACAGGTAGCTGGTGGCAATTATTGCCCTCTATTATGGGAAGTAACACAATTACAGCGTTTACACTTAAAACTGATGTTCAAACACAAAGAAGACATACAGAGGAGTCAGTATGGACTCCATTTTGAGAAGGAATAGCAGAAACTAAAATAAAAAGAAAATTTCAAACTAAACCAACCCTCTTTCACAAATACAAAAATAGATTCTCGACCTTAAAACAGGTGCTGAGTTTTGAATTGACAATTCTGTCAAAGGATACATAATTAATCATTAAGGAAGTGCATAGAAATTGGATAGAATTTTGATGCTTAAATGGATCTCATAAAATTGATACTCACTTTATCTCGGACAAAAGGATTTGCAGATTCTCTCAAAAGATAGTTGATAATTGCTTGCTTTTTGCAAATTATGGCTCTGTGCAATGCAGTCAAACCATCCTGTATAAGAACATAAGAGAGGAAACCATCTCTCAAAGCTCAAGGCAAGAGGGAATATACTAAAATAAGCAGAAAATAATAATATAGATTTGGTCTCATTAGATTGTGATCATAACTAATACCTTATCAGCAGCATTGATATCAACATTATGTTTCAACAATGCATCCATAAGGTAAAATTCTCCTGATGCAGCAAGGGTATGCAGAGGTAGCCATTTTCCCTGAATTGTAGACCATCTTAGTTCAAAGCCAGCCAAGACATAGAAGAAACTAAAGCACATTAACCACAAAAACTCTGGAACATATAAGGTATAAAGGTTTATCCTTCATGAGAATAGCATTCTCTGACAGTCCAAGGATTGAGATGCACATCAACCAAAATGTAGAACTCATTTACCATTGGAATGTGGATGTTATCACATTTCATCAATAACTGAGCATATCCTTTCAATACTGAACCACAATATTTCACATCTGTGCTTCCATAAAAGCTCTATAAGGAGATCTACCTACAAGACACTGACTTTCCTGGGTTACACAAAATTCCTAATTCACAGATTGGTTAGAGAAAATTGCACAAAATTGTTTTCTTGTTAATTGCTTGCTTAATAGAAATACTGTGTATCCTAAACACAACCTGGGTATACATGGTCAATAGTTGAATCCTTTCTACCAAAAAAAAAAGGTCAGTAGTTGTACTCCTACTTCTTGTTAATAATACAATACTTTACCTTATCAAAAATTTAAAAAAAAAATGCACAAATTTTGTGCATTAATAGCTGCTGCTTAAATGACATCTTTGTTGATTTCCAAATAGCAGGTTAATGACTAGCAGATAGTTCAAATATATGAAACTTTGACTGATCATCAAAGTAAAAGTGACAAAGTTATCATTAAAATTTATAAAACACAAACATATTGTTTTTAGTTTCTTCATATTTTATTTACTACAATCCATTAAGTATTATGAAATAAAAAAAAAAAATGGCAGAGTAACCAGATCTTGTCCTTCTATAATCAATGTGAATGTTAAGAGGTAAAATGGCCTATGCATTAAAATGCCACAGAACTTCTGCCATGAAAGTAAAGTAGCACATATCTGCTTATTGCTAGCTATGTGATTAATGAATTTGCTTTGCCTGGTTATTTAGTTAATGTCCACGGTGCCAATAGAATCTATTGACCATATATAAAAATCGGAATGGAAAACAAGAAAATCATCGAACAGCCTGATTTGCCATTTCCAATAATACCCCTTGTAACTGGAGTAGAGCCTGATTTTACTTTCCATTTTTACCCTTTATGTTTTCTGTTTTCCCAGCAATTGACCAATTATGGGCCTGTAATGTGGGACACTTGTTAGGAAACCGAATAAAAGCCAACAAGTGTTCTCCTGTTCAAGAGGGAATATATAATAAAACTTTCCCAACATCATCTATTTGGCACTTGTTCTTAGTTTACCAATATCTGAAGGTCTTCTCTCCGATCTCCCTCAGACTCTCACTGCAAGGTACTCTCCAATCTTTACCACTATGTTTATTTGTTATACTTTTCTTTAGGTTTCAAGAATCAATATGATTATATCAATAACCTAACAAATGTTGAAGTGTTAAAAGAAATATTGGAAGAAGGTACTAAGAAATTCGTTGTTGCTATTATCATTTTGTAAGCTGCTTTGTAAGGTCTCTCTCTCCCGCCTAGGGACAGTACAATATTCCATTTCAGGTCTAGACCAGTTGAACATTTTAGTTGTTTTACTTCGAAATTTCAGTTTCGCCAGTGTGGTCTTCTTTTATTGCTTTATTGGGTTGCTCCATGGGGTGAGTTTGGCTTGCCTACTTTGTTGGGTTGCATAATTTGATGGATCATTTATGCGGCCCTTTTGTCAAGGTTATTTTTTTGTAGAAATTGGTTATTGCTTTAATTGCTTTTTTTTTTGTTCTAGGAGAGTTTATACTTTCATTTGCTCCTTGAATGACTTTGAAATTTATATAATGAGTTGGTGGATTTTAGGGGTTGTAGTCTTCTATTTTGTGAGAAAAGGGATGAACCTAAATGGTTATTGTTTTAATTCATTCTTTGTTTATGGTAAGAAATTGGTTGTTGTTTTAATTGGGTTTTTGCATTTAAATTAATAGTATTATCTGAATTTGTTGATTTCAGGAGTGTTTTGACTCCTCTTTGAATACTCCTCTTTTAAATTTTTCTTGATGGTTATCGGGGCTTTTTTGGCAAAAATTTCTTGATGGTTATCAGCTTAAGATCAAATTTTGATTTCTATTTGGAAAGCTTTTGATTGGGGTAGTGTGTTTTCTTATTAGTTTGGAATTGTATTTTCATTTTTAATTTTTGCTTGAACTACATCTTGCAATGATTTCTAGGAGTCCAAGTATGATTCTGGGCTTCTCTCTCTTGTCATTATCCTTTCTTTTATGGGTTCTTCTTTTTATTATTCATTTTTTTATGAATTATTCTTTTTATTATTCATATGTTGAAGCTTGTTTTGATTGGTACGATTTGGAGATGGAAATGCTTTTAAACAAAACAAAGGGGTTGATTTCTCATTGCAACCAAGAAAACGTTTTTCAGGTTCTCTTACAAATTTTAAAATCTGTAGTTTCCTCATTCTCTCTAAATCAGTGTTTTCAGCAAGAAACATATTCCAACCTCAAAAAACTCCTTTTATTCCTAATTACACCCTTCCAATTTTCTTTATTACATGATTTATTTTGATCGTTTACCTCTTATTCCTATCAGTTTTAACTATTATTTTGTACTCATTAGAAGCAGAAAACTGTTGAAAAACCAAAAGCTTCCCCGGTGACACTTCCAATACAGACTCGATGATATATTTGTTGCTAGCTTTGACAAAAGTTTTGAAGAGCACCTAGCTATCTTGGATTCAGTTTATTTGGATCTAAGGCTCAGTTTGGAGGAATACAAATACAAATATGTAGAGTGCAAAACCTTACATTTTGTATTATTTTGTATGTGTTTACACTGTACATGTTTGTATTTGTACTCTTTCCAAACTAAGCCTAAAGCTTTCAAAAGCCATGGAGTTAGTTGATAGACACTTACAAGTGAAATGATGAAGCTGCACAGTCATTGGTTGATAATTCACTTTTATCTTTTTTGTCTTGTTGATGTATGTATGCCTCCAAAGTGTGTAAAAAGATGTAGAAGAAATCTCTTCATCTACTCAATATGACAGGGAGGAGCAGTTAATTATCTATCTCCCCATGATTTTCATGTTTGTTTGTCCCTCTGCACATCTGTATGTGTGGAGTTCAATAACTTTTTATCAAAATCACAGAAAGAATTTCTTTTGTGCCAGCATGTTTATTTTCTAATTGCAACTTCCCGAGAGTTTTCCCTTTTTTAAGTATATAGATGACAAATATGAAAACTAAACAAGGAAAATATAATTCATTACTACTATAACAAATCTCCATTTAGACTAACAAGTTTGCACGTGATGTGGCCGAATAGAAGGTGCCCAAGCTAAAGGGATTAGAAGCATGAGCAGGCAAATAAAAAAGATCAGCTGACCTAAGGCTCATAATCTAATAATTGTTATGGCACTTTAGAAAATGGAATGGCAAAACAAGATTTGGGAAGACAACTCTGTATGGTTGGGATAAGGTTTTATTGAGTTGAGTTGTATACAAGTTCTGTCTTTTTAATAAGAATATTTTTTATGGATCAAGTTCATAACATATTACCATTCTATGAATGGGAAAAGAAGAAAAGATACCCAATAAAACTTATGAACAATAGCACTAAATCATGGTAAACTCATGAATGGTGACTACCAGTCACATCCATCCTTTCTAAATGGTTGCTCCTTGAGATCATCGGTCACATTGTTGAGCTCATGATGGATCCTTTTGGGAATTACTTGGTCCAGAAGCTTTTTCAAGTTTGTGATGAGGACCAGAAAGTACAGATACTCCATGCAATCACTAAAAAAACTAGAGACCTTGTTAGAACTTCTTGTGACATGCATGGATCAGTTCATCTTTTCTTGCCTTGTTATGCTTTTGGTTTGTTTTTTCAATATCTTTTAACCTACACAGAGGTTTTTCTCCTCACATTTGATATCTTTCCAAAAACAGAATTTGGACTGTGCAGAAACTGATTAAAACCCTTAAGACTCTAGAACAAGTTTCCATGGTTCTCTGCTTAAGTAGTCTATTTGTACCTCTAATTTTATCCATATATTATAATTCAATGAAGATTTCTGATCTCTTGAATGATAACCTATCCATTTATCTATCTAGATTTCTACATAAATATTGACATCATTGGTCACATTGTTGAGCTTCTTGAAGTCTGTGATGAGCACCAGAAAATCCAGATACTCCATACAATCACTAGAAAAACTGGAGACCTTGTTAGAATTTCTTGTAACATGCATGGGTCAGTTCATCTTTCCTTGCCTTGTTATGTTTGTGGTCTGTTTTTCCAATAAAGATTTCTGGTTTATTTCCACAGAATGTGGAACCTGAACAGCTACCCCCCCCCCCTCCCATCACTCAACAACTGAAATTGCATTCATGATATGACAGCCATAGAACCCAAAGCCAAAGGGTCTAGCCTTAAACCCTGAATAAAGGATAAGATCTCAGCCAAATTGAATCCCCAAGACATATGGAACCTGAATAGCCCAATTATGTGTTTACCTAAAGCTAATACAGAACCCATAGATCTAAGATATCAAATATAGTACAAATAAACAAGACAAATCCTGAATTGTTAAGAGCTTACTATTTGACAGAAAACATGGCTCTTCAAAGGGAGCACAATGACATGATAGGAGTTGAGTTGAAGTGCCCAATTTTTCTTTTTTTTTTTTTTTGGTAGTAGCCCAAAATGGATATGGAGTAAATATAAGGTATACATGGCTAACCAAGATTGTGCTTCTCTGGTTAAAACTGTTGGATTAAATTTATGACTTCGGGGATTGATACGAGACAATAAGGTGAATATTTATAATACAGAAAAAAAATCTTGTATTAAACCTTGTATCTTGGTTTACAGGGGACTGAAGATCCTTTCTCTGAAATACCATCCAATGGTATGGTTTTAGGCTAAAAAGTAAGCATAGAATGTGTTCCATTCCCAAAGAGGATGTTATAATGTCCCTATAACATATGCTATTAAGAGATGTTTTGCCACGTTAACATCAAAAGTGCCAAACTTGTTCAAATATTAGATA